GTGCGATTGGCGGAAACTCGACCATGTTGTAGCACCGGTGGAAGTTTATGTATTTAATGTTATTTAGATGTCATATATTTTTAGAATCTCACTTTTTTTATGTCAATGTGTATTATGTTTATCCCGTCCCAGAGTTGTTTATCTTATGTATAATTAAATTTTATTTGGATTTTGCAGTCATTCAAAATTGTTTATTATGTTTTATCCCATTTCAGAATTGTTTATATGTTGTTTATCTTATGTATAACTACACGGTTAATATTAGAGAACTGCCAGACCATGTTTATCTGATGTATATATACACTATATTTGAACTTATATTTGGTGGTTATGTTGTTCATCTTATGTATAATTACATTTGATTTGGATTTTGCAATCATTCAGAATTGTGTATTATGTTTTATCTCGTTTCAGAATTGTTTATATATTGTTTATTTTATGTATAACTATACGGTTAATATTAAGTCTTGTCTGATCATGTTTATATATTGTATATATACAGTATATCTAAACATATATTTGGCGATTGGGCGAGTTTTTTTTTTAATTTTTTTAATTCAAGATGTCGATTAACCGTTTGAAATTTTGAAATCGGGTTTTTATTTTTTTTCTATTTTTCTTTTTCTTGCGATTATTTAGCCCTAAATCAATGCATGTTTAATATGGAGAGAGAAAATTATGAGCATGTGAGAAATCTCATATCCCTAAAATTAATGCATGTTTAATATGGAGAGAGAGAAAGTTATGAGCAGGTGGGAAATCTAATGTAGCGCAGCGTCGAACAAAAGGGAACAAAGAGATGAAATCTCCCAAACAGTAATTTTATTTTACGATCAAACTGTTTTTCATAAGAGAGAAGAAGAGAATAAATAGTCTCCAAATCCTAGGTCTCCTAAACATCCTAAATAAGGGAATAATACTTAAATAAATATTAAATAAAACATGGAATATAAATAAAAGCTAGGAAATAAATAACTAGACTAAAGAAGGCATCCGGTCGTATTTCTGCATAAACGCCAATGCGATCTCGTCTCCATCATCCTCCCTCGGTTGGGAAGGATTCGCCCTCGAATCCGGATCGATCTCGTCTTCGTCCGAATTATCACCCGCAAATGGCACGAGATGCTTAACATTGAACACATCAGACGTCCGCAAGTGCGAAGGAAGCCGGAGGCGATAGGCATTTGGATTGATCTTCTCAACTATCTCAACCGGGCCAATCTTACGAGCCGATAACTTGTTGTAGTTATGCGCCCAGAAACGGTCCTTGGTGAGGACAGCCCACACAAAATCCCCGACCTCGAACTCGACGTGACGGCGACGGGAATCCGCACGCCGCTTATACGCCGATGTGACCTCCACCAGACGCGCCCGGGCCGCTTCCTGAGTCCGCCGGAGATCAACAATGAACTCCTCGGCACGGCGGTCTGCGCTCTCGGATGACGGAAGGGCGATGAGGTCAGCGGCCCCCCGCGGTCGCGCCGCGTAGACCACCTCAAAAGGAGAGAACTTGGTAGCTCTACTCAAAGCCGAATTGTAAGCAAACTCGGCCTGGCC